TTTGACTACATTTATTTCAGAAGCATTTTGGCTGTAGAGCAGTGTTACTTGCTCACATACTGTTTCTCAAAACACAACACACTTTCTACAGTTTCAGAGACACTTCAGTGTTTAAACATGCAATCTTAATGCTTTCAACACAGGCTTATGGTGTGTGTGGAATTTCCTAGTTATTTAAAAAGAAAGGTGGGGGTGGTTTCAAGCTGTTTAAGACTGTAACATATTGTTGTTAGTAATACCTTCTGTGCCATGGACCTCTGGAGATCTGCAAGAATGAATCCCCCTCCTGTTTACTGAGGAGCTCTTTTCCACAAACATGAGGAGTTGCAGAGAGCCTTCTCCTGCAAACCTTTAGGTGTTAGTGTACAGCAACTCCCCCTATTACTTTAAAAGGTCTACAACAATGGTTCTCAACCTTTCCAGACTACTATACCCCTTTTCAGGAGTCTGATTTGTCTTGCATACTCCAAATTTCACCTCACTTAAAAATGACTTCCTTACAAAAGCAGACAAAAATACAAAAGTGTCACAGAACACTATTACTGAAAAATTGTTTACCTTCTCATTTTTATATAATTATAAAATAAATCAATTGGAATATAAATATTGTACTTACATTTCAGTGTATAGTATACAGAGCAGTATGAACAAGTCATTGTCTGTATGAAATTTTAGTTTGCACTAACTTCACTAGTGCTTTTTATGTAGGCTGTGGTAAAACTAAGCAAAAATCTAGATGAGTTGATTACCCCCTGAAAGACCTCTGCATACCCCAAGAGGTATGCATACCACTGGCTGAGAACCATTGGCTTACAGGACTAAATCAGGGCTCTTACAGAATCCTTGCCACAAGCTATGTACACCTTCACAATACAGCCAAGTTAGCCACATGCAGATAGCAATAAACCCTACGTAAAGTGTACTGATCACATGAAGAATGGGTCATAACTTGATCGAAGACAAATCAATACTCACTGGAACAGTCAAAGGCATTTTTCCTCAACAAAAGCTACTTCCAATGCCAAAATTGAATTTTCTACCCATAACAGTTTAGACCGGGGGTGGAGGAATGGCTGGTGCAAAAAGTTGCAATTTTTTTAATTGTATTTATTTATTTATTTTAAATAGTTGGAAAAACTTACTCCCACCCCCCCACACACACACACATTTAAAAATGACAACTCGTCATGACAGAAAACCTCAAAAAACATTAAGAAGTGCGTAAATTGACTTAAGTTGCAGATGAAAACTAGAAAATTTCAGCCCAAAGAGATGAGCTACAAAAATCTGAATGATTGAAAATAAGGGATTGAATAGAAATGCTCATGCAACCTTAACTAGAGTGGATACTGCCACTCCTGCTATCTTTTGTGTAAATGTCACAGATGTGAGTAGCCCTATTTATAAAATAAGCTATGGCCCCTCCCCTGAGGAATTTAGAATCTAATACAGAAGAAATGATCTAAATATTTATTTCAATAAGATAATACCAAGATCCGAGGGTGTAAGCAGTCTGAAACATTTAATCTTAGATATTTCTGGAGGCAAAAACTTTAGCTTATGACCATTAGAACTGTCACATTAGGTTTACTAGATTTCATAAATGTATCATCTAGTTAGGTACATGGAGGGGGGGTTAGCTAGTTGTGCCTGAGTTGTAATTAGCTAGAAGTGAGTTTTGAGGAGGGTCTAAAAAACTGTGTCGTTACCAGGTACACAAGAAGAAGGAGGCTGTCCCAGGCATAGGAGTAGCATAAAAGAGCAAAGATGACAAAGAACATGGAAGTGAGGATAGCGGTTAACTGATGGATAGGAGAGTGTTTTGGGGATGGTGGAAAAATAACTTCCTCTAGTACCCCTAGTCATGGATCAGCTGTACAAACAGAACAAAAAAGATGGTCCCTGCCCCAATAAGCTTACCATCTAGTCTTTGCCACATTACAATTGAGTTGTTGGAACATCAGGGTGAGATGCCAGATGCAGTCACAATTGTAAAACTGAACAAAGAGGCAGAGGTCACAAGTGAGTGGAGGTGTAGACTTGGAAGCAGTTAGAGATCTGTCCTTGTGCTATCTCATCCCCTCTAAAGGGTTCAGTGCATCCAGGGAGAAGAGAAGAGCACTGAGGAACATTGGTGATGAAATAGTGATCTGAGAGACAGGAGAACCAGGCAATTACAATGCTCTGGAATTCCTTAGAAAGGGAAGAGCGAGGACAATATTGATGATGATCATCATCATACTACTTGATCTGTGGAATAGTATTTCCCTCACCACCATGCTTCTGTGCAGAAAGATCATGCTTCTGCACAGAAATCCTGTACCCAGAGGACCTGTACAGAAAACCTTTAGCCACAGCACCTTTCCTGAATTTAAATAACTAGGATTCTTCCATTCTAGTCAGCTTCACTCACGCACTGAAATCTTTCATCAGTGACATCTGCTCAACTTCACATTTAAAAGGAAAAAAAAAAAAAAAAAAAAAAAAAAAGGGGGCCAGGGAAGAGAACAGTGGATAACAAGCCCACCCTTTTTAGAAATCAGTCACTACTTGCTAAGATCAGTCCTATATAACTCATAAAATTACTACCACCATGCAAGTGCTAGCTGCCAATATTTAGAAGCAGACTATTTGTTTTCTTGTAATTTATTGTACGACTACGCTATAAATCAATTTGGACATGCATGCTGATGTAGGGCTTACAAGCTATGCCCAATTAACACATAGGCAGTCTTATTGAAAGACAGAAACCTACCGTTTCAAAGCTGCCTTTGTGCATCAGATCGATGGGAGGCCTGAAGAGGTCTGCAAGGGTAGTGAGTTTCTTATCTATTGCACCTCCATTCCGCAGCTCCTGCTCCTGTCGAACTATACAGCCCCGGGAGGAACAGGAGTTGAATTAGACAAAATACTCACAACAGTGCATTACGCTGCCTTCATCCCTATTCCCTACATACAAATTCACCTGGTTGAAATCATTTTACAAGGTTACAAAGTGCACAGGCCACGATTTAATTTGAAGACAGGATCCTAAAGTCGAGGTTTTAAATCCATAACAAGGCAACTAAGTGCTCTGATTTTCTGAAGTGCTGAACGCTGAACTCTCATTTATTTAAATATATTTTGATTTGTAAAATGTACACATTAGTAGGATCTGATTGTGAAAAATCAGGCAACTTATTCTGGTGCCCAAATATGGATTTAGTAGTCTAAATTTAGGCTCCTGTTTTTCAAATATTGACCTACATCCAAAAATATTTCTAGTTTGATCTTTCACCTGTTCCCTCACCTTCACAAACATCAAAGGACCCCTTTGACAGAATCAGATATTTCTTCACATAAACAGAATATTCTTTGAAACTCACATTTAACATTAAATCCTTTCACTGATAGACTTAGTTATTGCAACCTCTTATAGGTCAGAGGTTCTCAAACTCTTTCTATAGTCTATACCACACCTTGAAAAACAGTGTCCTGTGGATACCACCTCTCCCATTCATGATTATGAGGCCACCTTGCATGCCCATCTGTGATCATATGAAATCTTTGGGGGAATTACAGCAATTGCTTACCTAAAAAAGCAAATGCACAGAGTATTTTATGCAGTTTAGCAGTTGGAAATGGGGAGCCAGGGCCATGTGGTCAGCCAACTCTCCACTGGACACAAGCAAGTGTGCAGTGGACCAGAGTATAGAAGCCTCCTGTACCTGTAAATATCACTATTTTGCAACCCCTGGAAACATGTCTGCAAACATTAAAGGCTAGATTAGTGTCAGACTTTAACTATTAAGTTTCCAGCTTTCATTTAGGTGAAAAAGCTTTTGGTGTATTTTTATTGAATTTTATAAAGTTAGATAAGAGATGAATGTGTAACTGGATCATATACCCTTCTTCAAGAGCTACAGTTGACATGGTGGAATGCTTTCAGATTCTCAGACATTTAGTGTAGTGATATGAAAGAATTAAACACTGCCTGCAATATTAATCACTTTTAGTAACACACACCATAATAACAGACAAAAGGTCACGTGTTCCACCTATCTGACCCATGCTGGTGATCACGGAGCTGTAGACTCCACTTTTTATGCACCAGTGTGGGCCATTCCACTTTGGATTACTGTAAGGATGTGTCAAAAACATTTTGGAACGTCTTTCTTTGTGGAAACAGAGTAATTAAACCCTAAATTCTACTGTACTGTTTAAATCTACCACTTCCCAGTACATTACTAAACTTTAACATAGACTCCTCAGTCAGTATGTCTTTTGTTCAAATAATTTAAAGCACACTGTCTGAGACCATGCGTCGGAGTCAAAAAATGTGGTTGTGCAGTAGGTATAGGTTATTCACAGAGAAGCCAATGACACTACCTTTAATTAAATAGGTTGATTATTACTGAAGAGTCTGACTCAGACTCTTTGAGTGATGCCAGTAGAAGATAGTCAGCTTTTTGTTCAGTGTTTGTACAGTGCCTTGCACAAAGGGGTCCTGGTCCATGACTAGGGCTCTTAGGCACTACGGTAATACAAATGATTAATGACAATAAAAGTTATTAAGGCTGCATTTGTCACAGCTGCCAAAGGAGTCATTTTTTGAAATTTTATGATTTAGAAGAGTTTCTCTATTACTTTTGTCATTTGGAGATTTTGCACATGGGTGGGCGGATGCAATGGTAAATGGCTAAACAAATTCACTGAGAACTTTCTGTGCTGCCAAGCAAAACCCAGGACTAATCTGAAGATTAATAAGAGCGCGCACACAGCAACAGTGGCCACACAAGACCAGATTAGTGAATCAGAGCTTTAATTCCCCTAAGATTCTTGAGTTCTCTCCCCACCTTTCCATCCCCCACCACCAAGGGGGAAAAAATGCTTTTGAAGAATTAAAATTGGGTTATCAAAGTCCGTTCTGGTATGGCAAGTACTTTACTCATCTGTCCAGTACTGCCACAGAGCACACACAGGTTTTTTTGTTTTATTTTTATTTAGAAGATTGGAAGTATGCATCAGTGTCACATCAAGATCCAATAGTATCTGACAAGATTCATATTTCCATGACTTGGCATTTTCAACATAATCACCTCACAACTATTTAAAATTGCAATGATTATAAAAGCAGTCCTCACTGTGACACTAGTATCTGTGGGGAGACAGCTGTAGTTAATAAATAGACATATCTTTAATTATAAAAGTAGTAATGGCACCACTACAATTAAAGATTAATAAAGTAGTTTTAGAATAGAATATTGCCTACTGCATAGGAAATTCCAATCTCATTTAAAATTAAAAATTGTTTGATGACTGCAGCCAATGATCATGGCCAATAGCAGATAACTCTGTTCATTCCACACCACAAAGTTACACAACAAACTAGAAACCCTACCATAATGAACCACGGATACTTACTGGTTTCTGTTTGAAAATCCCGAAAACCATCAAATATTGAACGGGCAGGTCTGCGTCGTTTAGGAGCTTTAAAAAAAATAAAAAAAAAGATATCTCAGATGTAATTTAAAAGCTAGATTGTCAAAGAATTACTTTTGAATGATGGCATACCACAAATTTGTGATGCAAAAAGCTTGAAGACCCAAAGCATACATATAAGGAGGAGTAAGGTCACTGGGGAAGGGTTGGGGAAACCAAAACAACAGATCTAAGTATCACCACATTTTACTTTAGGATATGCCCCCAAGAGTAAGTCTTTCCTCAAAGCAAATCCAGGTTGCTGATGAAAGCAGGTAAAATGCTGGGCCTCCCATTTCTGATATGCTTGTACATACCCATCCTGATTGCTTTTCTGCCATGCTGCCCAATATAGTATTTAAATTAAATAATTCTTACCACACTGAACCCAAAACATAAAACAGGGACCCACTTTAGAAAATAACTATATGTCCTGGAGAAGTAATAATGGAAAATCCTCTAGGAAGGCAGCTACTCCCAGAGTTCTCCAATTTAGTTCTGTCAGGCCTCTCACTCACATCATCTTCTTGGCTGTTGGGTGGGGTGGGCAATACCTGGATTCAAAAGGAGGAATCTTGCTAGTACCCTATCCCCAAGTAAACCCCCCTCAAGGAGCTCTATGCAGTTGCCTCTGGGCACAAAAGGAGGGGGGGGAGATACTGTTCCAATTCTCTGTCTGGGCAATTAACTCACACAGACCTCTAATACCAGGATAAAGGGCTGGGCTGAAGTCACCTGGCATTACTATCTATAGCTGCTGCTCCAAAGTACTCCTGATGGGGCCATAAGACAAGACACCATAGAGCGATTTATTACAAATTTTTGTCTGCCTAGGAATGGTCATTTTTAACAATTAAGACAGTATTTTCAAAGTAATTCAGTTACAGGAGATGTTCAAACACAAAGTAAATGGAAAGAGGCCACCATACAAATTAAACAAAGCCTGTTTTAAAAAAAATCCATTTGCAGGGAGACTGGTTGAACTAATGGGCACTGCCTACTCCTGAGGGAATTCTGCACCAAAAAAATAAAATTCTGCAAAATTCTGCATATTTTATTTGTCAATAAATAAACTTGAAGGTTACAGCATGGCAGTGGGGAGCACAGGCCACTGGCTGCATGGAGGTGCGAGATCACCCTGAAGGCCCCCCCCGACACCCCAGGACAAGAACTCGGTGGTGAGGCTGCACCTGACCCTGACACAGCATGAGGGCCAGGCCTGCCCCAGAAACACCCCGGGGCCCTACCCTTCCATGCCAGTGCACCAAGACAGTAAGCGAGAGGGACAGAGTCTCACACACCCAGCCCTAGCCCCGAGTCTAGGTGTGGGACAAGCAGGCTCAGCCCAGCAGGATCCAAGAATGGAGGTGCTTAGTGTGGGGGGATCCAGATGTTGGGTGAGAGGGTTCTGTGTGGGGCAATCTGGGTGCAGGTGTCTTGTGGGGGGGAGAATCTGAATGCTCAGGGGCTCATTGGGGGGTTCCAGATGTGGGGGAATGGGACTCTGCAAGGGGTGCAGGTGACTGGGGCACAAGGGGGTCTGGATGTGGGGGGAAATGGGGCTTGGCGGGGGGGCTAGGTGCTGGGGGGCTTGATGAGGTGGAGGTCCAGGTGCAGCTGGCTGGGGCTCAGTGGAGTGGAGGTCTAGGTGCAGGGGCTTCCCGGGGTGGTCCAGGTGCAAGGGGGGTGGGGCTCAAGTGCAGGGGGCCTCAGTAGAGGTTAGTCTCAGTGCAGGAGTGGGGGTCCGGATGCAGGGGGGAGGTTCTTGGTGAGGGTCCAGGTGCAGGGGGCTCTGGATAAGGCATGGTTGGGTGGGGGTTCAGGTGTGGAGGGTGGTCTGGGTGCAGGGGTGGGGAACTGGATGCAGGGGGGGAAGGGCTTGGTGGAGATCTGGATGCACAGGGGTTGGGCAAAGTGGGGAGGAGCAGTTCCCCATACAGTGACCCTCTCGCCCTGTGGCTGAGGAGCAATGGGGGCAGGAAGCAGGGTGGGCCTGGGGGACTGCAGAGCTCCCTAGAGCCTGGGAGGTTTCTAGAGGTGGGTCTGATCTGGACCAGGCCACTCCATGCAGGGAAAGGAGGTCCCATCGTCCTTCTCTCCCCCGCCCCCCCACCCACCCGGGACGAGCAGCTAAGACTGGCGCAGGGTAGGAGCCACTGGCTGTGGAGTCTCCTCCACAGTGATTTACCTCTCTGCCGGCTGCTCCGGGCGCCCGAAACGATGTGCCCGCACTGCTGGGGAGGGGCGCATGACAGCTCTTGTGGCTTCCCTTTGCTTCCCCGTCATTTTCTGCGGGGAAGCAAAGAAATCTGCGGGGGACATGAATTCTGCACACACGCAGTAGCGCACAATTCCCCCAGGAGTAATTTTCATCTCTACTAACTATGAAAAAAGGTATTATATTTTTGACTCCAAGTGATCTGCTTTGTACATTATAATCAAAAATGTTCAGACTTGGGTGCTTCAATATGAACTTCAGAGTTAAGTACTGAGCACCCATAAATCTCACACAAATCAATAGGTGCTACAAGTACTCAGCATTTGTGAAAATCACCCGCCTGTAGTTAGGTATTTATGTATGGCTTTAGGAACCTGAGATTAGGCATGCCAGTCTGAAAACACTGTCCTATATTTTTGTGTTTCTTTGGAATGTAATTTAATAGTTGGCTATGGATTGGTGTTATCTTCTGTTTCAGACAATTATTTAAGTATCTCATTCTCAAGAGAGTTCCATGCAAAAAAAGACCAGACAACATTCAAATCCAAATATCCGTATACCTAGACTGAGTTCTCTAGGGCAAAGATGGTCCTTCCTTACATGTCTGTACAGTGCCTAGCGCAATGGGAGTCTGAACCTTTATTGGGGTTCCCAGGGATTATCATAAATAGCCACCTCTTCTTAGAAGATCAATATTTTAACTAGCAGGAAAGTGATCTTCTCATTAGCCCTTCACTTTAAATAAGGGGAGGGGAGGAAGGCAACATTTCAAAAGCAAAAGATAATAAAGCAATCTTATACTTAAAGCAAACAGAAAATAAAAACTACAAGGTGCATTTCAAAACTTCAGTTTATTCTCCAAAGGAGAAAATGAGAGTAAAATATGGATAGCAGTAACAAATGGGAAAAGCTACTATTACCATCTAAAACAAATTCACACGGTATCCTTACTTTGCACTGTGCCAAGTGTCCAATTACTAGGGCCTTGGTGCATTACACAGCAATGCCCACTGCATATTGCCTGTAGAACGCCCGGGAACCACCCCCATTCTCAGAAACCTCCTACTTTCTAAGCCTCCCCAATAATATTTCTTCAGCAGGTAGGTAGGTTCAGATCATTCAAGAAATTCAAAACAAAGCAGAACTAAAATCAAATATTTTTCTTTAACATTTCATTAATAGTTTGTCTTTACCCTTCATATACTTCTGACTTCATTTCTAATCCTCCTATCTCCTTTGTAGCTCTAGCTCTCTTGAATCTTCACCAATCACTCTGTCCTTCAATACTACCACTTTGAGCATCTCTAATGTGGGAGAAGTATCTTCCAGTTCTGTTTCTGGATCACTGTACTCAGCCAATAAACAGGAGTATTTTAGCATAACTTATGAGGCAGCACCCACTTTAAATGGCACATGAAGCAAACTGCACTCCCAGTGATGCATGATTTATTACCTATGTCTCCTTTGAGAAACCGTACTTCCAACTGCACAGAGGTATTTCAAAGTGTGCAATCACATCCTACGGCTATAGATTTAGTGTAGAGAAGCAGCAACGGGATTCAATTTCTCAGGCTTGGTTTAAACTCCAGACTTATGTTGGTATAACTACACCGCTCAGGGGTATGGAAAATCCACATCCTCTGAGCAATGCATTTATACTGAACGAACTCCTGGTATAGACAGCTCTGTGCTGACTGGGGGTGGGGGGAGAGCTTCTCATATCAACATAGCCACTGCCTCTCAAGCAGGTGGAGTACCTAGAGTGGTGCAGCTGCACCACTGTAGGTATGTGTAGACAACCCCTCAGTCAGTTATGATTTTTCTTTTGTCACTCACCCAGGCCAGAAGCAACATAAACAAAAACACAAACAAATCTTACCTCCAAACAAGGGCTCCGGCTCTACCAAAATTTCCTGCTTTTGTGGAATTGGTGCTCGTACTTCATCCCTACCAGAGTAGAAAAAAATAACTTGTTATTTACTGAGGGATGTGCTGGGCACTGTATAAACAAAGAACACCAGTTCCTGCCCAAGGATCTTGCAGCTTAAATGATACAGACAAAAGTACAGATGTATGATACCTAGGTGAAGTAAGGATGTTGTACAAATTTTTAATTATTTTATCATTTCAGGTGGCTCAAAGGCTCCACAGAGGACGTGAATGTTTAAAAAGCCTGAATTGAGAGAGGTTCTTTGACACATAAGAGGTTCCATGCATACAGAGTGGCATAGAAGGTGTCACAGACTAGAGCTTACAACCCTACATAACGCAGAGAGAAATGTTTTATTTGTTTTACCAATCTCTTCACAGTCTTCTAGGCACTGTGTTTGAAGTTTAGGAGATGGACTGGCTGGCTCCTGAATGGAGCCAAGGTATCAAATTTATTCCAATAAAAGCACTTATAGGTTTTAACTTATAGTGGTATAAAAGTCACTGATTCACAAAGAATCTGCATAGAAACAAGGCCTCCATACTGACAAATATAGACTTTTAGCTTCAGTACCCGTCAAAGGCAAATGGCAGAAAGGTACAGAATTTAGCATCAGCTAGGACTGTTGGCACCACTCCAGCTGTTTTAACCTCAAGTACACCCTTTTCTGGCACTTTCACCTTTATAATTAACCTGAATTTAGACAGAAAGTTTAGTAAGATTGTTTCCAGGGTCAAAGTTATCTATTTATCCACAGAACAGGTAGAGCAAAGGAAGCAGCACTGCAAACTTTCCTACAATGCACAAATGCATCTCATTCATGCCTTTCAGTGACCAACTCTACATATGAGCGTGTAATATGCTCTTCATAATTATTCACACCCTGGCCTTTCATGCACAACACAGGCACCAATTAATGCCAAATGTTGCTGTGGATTTTATGGTAGGACACAAGCCCCCTAGGAACCGGACAGAGACCACTAACTCATTTCTTGAAGACCAAAAACCTAATTACCTTTTAGCCACAACTAATCCAATTTAGACAAAGTTCAAAGCAGTGACGTGGAGGTGAAAGTAACTGTCATTACCACCACGTACATATCTATCGTGCAAGATCCAGCTTCTGTGTCCCCTGAAAGCAGCATTTAGCTAGCATGACTTGTAACCAATATCCTTGTTAGGTATGCAAATGTTATCCAAAACTTACAGATGAGGAAATTGAGTCATAGTACAATTTTCAGCCCAGGGGACCATCTCTTTGCTATATGTTTGTATAACACCAACAAGGTGCTGACCTCTAGGCACTATTTTAACACCAGCAGTGAGAACTGGTAATATTCCCAAGTCAAAACGAGAAACAAACCCCAGGTCTCTTAAAACTCAGTCCTGTGTTTTAGCCACAAGACCATTACTACCAGATAAAAGTTTTACTAGAATGGCCCTACCAGAGGAGTGGAAAAGTGGACAAGATAATTAAAGAACTACATAGTAACAGGGAGTGACAGCAGGTTATGAGAGAAATGAACAATGCAACAGCAAAATGCCTTGATGCCAAAACTTTCCCACCTTTCCATCCTACCACTATTCAACACAGGTTATTCATTCATATGGATACATTCACACAGGCACATACTCGGTATCTGGTCGGACAGTTGACACTGCTGCTGAACTGGTGCTGGGCTCCTCTGCTATGCCTCCACCATCCAGAAACATAGTGACAGCCATCTCTAGATTATTGTTGCATGCTTCAAGCATATGTTTCCCCACACTTTCACTGGCACCTATAATACCAAAGACAAAAAAAGGTCTCAGAAAATAGTATCAAGACCCTGATCAAAGAGGTGCTGGGAATAGCTGACAGGCAAGATTGCTCTTTCAAAGAATTAGTAATTAGTAAGAATGCACAGCTTATATGCCTGTCACTTGCTTTGCATTTATAGTTTAGAAACCATTACAAGAAACACTAATGTACACATCTTGCCTGGGAGGGGGGGAAAAGGAGATGGAAATGTGGCTCTCCTTCAATCCTATCTCCTTCCTTAAAAAAAGAAAAAAGTTTAGCAGTAGCCATTTAATGTTTTTTGTTTTTTTAATAGGTCTCAGACCTTTGCCCAACACAAAATTCAAAACATGAAGAAGGTGCAATGATCCAGAAAGATGTTGGGTTATACACAAAATTAACTATCAACTTCTCATCACCCTATGAAAAACTTAATATTAAATCAGCAAGGAGTATAACGCAGGGTGGACTCGATTTAATCATGGATTTCTACATAAAAGTGCATTCTTTGGTTATTATAACCTTAATACATATTCTTCACAACTCAGAGATAGACGTGTACCTTCTAAAAATGAAACCTACACTATACATTTTTAAAGTGATTTATTTTGAAAACTTTTCAGATTAGTTTTACAGCTATATCAGAAAATGAATGATTGTTTATAAATAAATTATAAATTAATGGAGATGTCCTATCTCCTAGAACTCAAAGGGACCTTGAAAGGTCATCGAGTCCAGCCCCCTGCCTTCACTAGCAGGACCAAGTACTGATTTTCCCCAGATCCCTAAGTGGCCCCCTCAAGGATTGAGCTCACAACCCTGGGTTTAAGCAGGCCAATCCCCCTGCTCTTTGGTTATTTCCTTTACCAAAGGTAATTGAAGCAGATATTTATGAAGTCATTGGGAGGTGAATTATCTCCAATTCAACAGGTTAATCATTAATATTTGGAGGATTTTCTTGCCATGCTGTATTAGGAGGAGAACATCACCAGACAGACATTTAAATTGTTTTATTTAACAATGTTATGTATTCTGGATTTTTTCTTCAACAGCAAATATAATATTTTTAACAAAACAATCATATGAATTTTTGAATGTAGTTAAACATTCAAGTTTTTTAAAATCAGGTTTGTTTTTGTTAAAATTGTTTCTAACTAAAATAGTTAAATGAAATATATTTAAAAAAAAAAATCGACTATGTCAGCCAGCTCAACATGAGAAACTTAAAATATTGGATTCTGCAGCTAACTCAGTCGTCTTCATCTTAATTTTCCTGTTTGTTCATAATCTGGAAAAGAAAAACAAGTTTTCCTGCTTTTTCAGGTCCCAAACGATTTCTCAATTTGGAATGAATTAGTCAAAAGGAAGAAAATATTCTTTCTACACCGGCAGAAGAAGCTACTGCTCTTAAAAGTTAGATTATCACTTCAACAGTCTCTGAATCCAAGTGCTTAAGTGACTTCCACCAGTTCACATCATCAAACATATATTTCTTGAATGGCTCACCCTTAGCGCTGAAGTTTATTATAGTTGGCATTACGGAGGAATGATTGCTGGATGTCCATGTCATAGCCAACTCCTCTTCTTCAACAGTTAAGGTTTGACCCTGGTACCAAGTGTTGTGAATATTTGCAAGAAAATAAGCTGAAGATAGTGCTTGTCCCATTAGGTTTTTTTTTTTTAAGGCTTGTGATTTAACTCTGTCATTGCATATTTCTCTTTTTAAGATCTCACTCAGTTCCTTCCCAATTTCAACAGCATCAGCAATAGAACAGCTATTTCCCTGCATTTTGTTCAAGGTTACAGAAATAGGCTTCAGGGTACTCAGCATGTGTTCAATATTTCTCTTAAGCCCAATGTTGAGAACTTTGGCTGCGACAGTGCCATCTATTTTTTCATGATTTTGTTCACAAACTGTCATCAGATTAGGCCAGTTCTTGATATAGTGCTCAAAACAGTCCACTACTGAGTTCCATCCCGCGTCTTGTGGGAGAGTTAACTTGGTTCCTCCCACTTTTTTCAGAGCAGCTGCTGCAAAGTGGCTGTTACGGAAGTATTTTGCAATTTCAACATTAGCCTTTATTTCTGGAACACTGAAGTCTTTGGCTAGGAGGTGCATCAAATGAGCACTGCAGCCGTATGTTATTAGCTTGGGACTCTCTTCACTCTCTTCTAAATAACTTCTTCTCATCTTGGATACATTTGCAGCATTGTCTGTGACCAAGCTGCGTACTAGACATTTGAATTTTTTTTCCTACAGTTTCTTTTAGCTTTTACAGCTACTTGTAAATATTCTTCTGTGTGTGCATTTCCTGATGTATCAATTGTTTCTGTAAAGAAGTCATTCCCTTCTTCTGTTGTCACACAAGCACATACAACAGGATCATCGTGGACATTGCTCCACCCATCAAGACTCAAGTTAACAATTTCACCCTCTAGACCTTTTGCACACTGCTAAATTTCTCTTTCGTAAGCTTTATCCAGCAATTTGCCTGTGACATCTGCTCTGTTGGGTGGACTCTATCCTGGTCTTAATGACTGAACCATATTAAAGAAGTGTGGGTTCTCAATCATACGGAAAGGAGAGTTTGTTGCATAAACAAACCGGGCAATTTTTTCATCAATTACCTCTTTTTGTAATCTGCTGGTTCTTATCACAAACTTATCTATGGTTGTTTCTGGATATTGGAGATTTTTTTTTTCTTTTTGCTACAGGTGATATACTGTGGCTACGTGACATACATGGTGTGACTGAAACGCGATCATTGGCATATAACTCTGAAACTATAGAAAATGGTGGTGATCTTGAAGGTGGATAGTCTTCAGAATGCTGTATGTTGATGATGGATTCTCCTAAACAAAGTAAGTCAATGAAGTTATTTAATTATTATTACCATACTGCTCATTTAGTATTACTCATTCCATTCACTGACACTCAGTTCTACTTTAAAGGTGAAATTGTAAAAGGAAGATCTGCCTATTTCAGCTATTTATTTTTTTATCACAACTGTATCTAAAACGATAGTACCACACAGTAACAACTATATTTTCTGCTCAAACATGAAAATTCAAGAATAGTCCAGAAGGAAGACAGGCAATCCTTAAGAAAGAAGTATGAAATAAAAAAGTTGACCAACCTGAAGATCCTGCATGTTCAGATACGTTGCTTTCATCATCTTCAACGCAGCTACCTCCTGAGAAGGAACACTTCCTGTGATGTTGTTTCATTTGGGCAACCAGGCCTTGTATTTCTTTGTTGCACTGTTTGCATTTTGCAGGCATGCCTGTCTTACCCACAGGTAGAGGAACTTCATTAAAATATTCCCAAACTGGGTCTCTTTTACGGCCTGCTGCCATTATAGGTTTTCCCTTCTAGTGATAGAATGGTATGGTAGATCTCAAATCAATAAAGGCTACACTCAGAAAGACCTCAAGACTTCTGGAATATGCTGCTCAAACAGTTTCACTTTTGTTTCTACTGCCCGTCCCTCCCTTCTCACATTTATCTCCAGACTTCTTCTCCTTGTCCAGATCTATTCCGCCCCCAACAATCTTCTATTCATTGAACTTTTTGAAACTTTGCACTTTTAAAGAGAGGTAAGGGATTGACTCTGTGTACACAAATTTGCAGAGGGACAATAGGGTTGAAGTCTGTTATTTCTCACCTCTGTTTATTTATTTTAAAACATTTTTGCTGTAAACAAGCATGTTATCTCTGGAGACACAAATCCAGTTTGAGAACCGCAAACCTAAGCATCTCTGATGGTATCTTCTAGACTGAGCACTGAGTCCCATTGGATAGACAGAAAGATTAACCTAAATAATCTATACAGAAGCCCTTGGAACCTCATAAGATTGGGTCCCTAATCCATGAACTATTGGAACTCATTTACAAAACTTCTTAAACATTACATGAATCTATTGTTTCATACTATAGAATTAGAATGTATAATCCCTATTCCATGATGAAATATCTTTGAGCTATAATGCATCTATCTTTAGATCAGATTTTTCCTCAAAAAGCATTTTAATCAAAAAAAATCCGATTTTTTTGGTTTTCAAAAAAATCATTGATTTTTATCCACCGAGGTATAACGGTTTCAGCCAGTGTATGATGGATATTTATAGCAGAAAAGCCATGTTCCCTACTTTATTTATCATCTGACCAAGATACAGAGTGAGCAAAAGAGAACTAGCAGGTGCTCAGTCCAGAGAAGATGAGCATAACAACTGGCAGAAAGAAGGAATGGAGGAAGGTTTGTTTACATGTTGATACGTGTCCATTTATTAAAACGGTTCCCAGTCTCAGTGTCTTACCGTATCCATTACTGTTCATGGATACGAGTAACAACATTGACTCGCAGTACCACCTCCTTCTCTACATCAAAAGACCTTTCCCCTCCAGGCCGAGTATCCCAAAGTTAGTAATGCCATAGAGCACTGTCATCTGGGGAATTTATTTTCCCTAACAGTCTACCTATCAGAGCACAAGTGTGAGTTCTCCATCCCACAGAGGGACAGTGTTGTCATAGTCATGTTAGTCCCAGGATATTAGAGAGACAAATTGAGTGAGGTAATAGCTTTTATTGGACCAACTTCTGTTGGTGAAAGAGAGAAGCTTTCAAGATTACAAAGAGCTCTTCTTCAGGTCACTGTAGGTGAAGGCAGTTAGTGAGTTACAGAGGCAGAATTCAATGGAGTTAGCCTTGGGGGTAGCTTTTGTACTCATGATTAGTTTAAGTGTCCAAATACCATAGCAACAACGAAAAGAAGATTATATTGTATAAAATTAGAGTTGTAGTAAATTAAGCCACCTTGGCCTAAACCCATTTTATCTTAGTCACTCAACCTATATTTGGCAACACTAGATTTCCCGGGAAGCTCTAGTCAGAACAGCCCAGCCTCAAATGAAACACTTCAAGGGCCGGAAAATGTCTGGATAAAGCAGAGGTTCTCAAACTGGGGCTTGGGACCCCCTCAGGGGGTCAGGAAGTTATTACATGGGAGGTCACGAGCTGTCAGCCTCCAAGCCAAACCCTGCTTTGCCTCCAGTATTTATAATGGTGTTAAATATATTTTAAAAGTGTTTTAAATGTATAAAGGGGGTGCACTCAGAGGTTTGCTATGTGAAAGGGGTCACCAATACAAAAGTTTGAGAACCACTGGGATAAAGTGACTTTGAATGACCTATGCTATTACATTAAGTCACAGACAATGTCAGCTTGTCTGACAGAGCAACTTTCCAAAGACAATTTGCCAAGAGAAGTAGCAACAATCTTGATAGAAGTCAACTCTATTTTGAGGCCTTAATTAAAATGGTGAATAAATACAAAAGCAAACTAGTTATCAGAGATAACTAGGTAAAAGTATGGAAACGACGTCTAATTTCTTTAAACTGTAATCACAATTTGTTATAAAAATGCCATTACATTTTATTGCCGTTATATCAGCAATGCTCAAACATTTTTACACTTTGAAATGACCACATCATCCTACAACTCCCATATAGTTATGTGCAGTCACTCGCAGCTGCAAGGACGTTGCCATTTTCAGGTCTCTGCTATTCAAAACCTATCATTGCTTGTAGAAGACAAAAGTTGTCTAGAACCGCATTTCTCAAATGCGGCCACCATAGCCGCACGAGGCCACCAGGGGCTTTTCTTGCAGCCACAGTCTCCTGGGCTGTGATTTGGGGGGAGGAGGCAAAGTAGGAGCCCCTTCCCTCTTCCTGTTGCTCCTGGATGCATCGCCTTGGTGTTGGTTGCTGGGGCTGCCAGCAGGGTTGGGTCCTGACGGTTCTGGAGATATCTGGGTCACAATGCGGGAGGACCAGGCAGCCGGTAAGTTCCCCACCTTCCCAGGGGCGATGGGGCTCAGGCTTTGGACTTCAGCCCTGGGGTGGCGGGGCCGCAGGCTCCAGCCAAGGGGCTTCAGGCTCCATCCCCAGGCTCCAGCTGTACAGCAGTAGGCCCCAGACTCCGGATGCGGGGCTTCGGGCTCTGGCCACGGGGCTTCAGGCTCCAGCCCCACACTCCCTCTCTGATCCCCCATCCAGGGCTTAATTTGTCCCTAGGCTTGGGAGGGCTAATTAAGGCTGCTATGAAAAGTGATACTTGTATGTTTGTTAATATCACTTTTCACAGCAGACTTACTAGCTAGCAATAAATAAATTACAATGATTTGGACACCTATATGTGCATATTTATTTGTTTTTCCTAAAGATAATTAAGTATTTTAAGAAAAAGTGTGAGAGCGACCACCAGTAAGGGTTGGTGGCCGCACTCAGACGCCACCAAAAAATTTGTCCTGAGAACCTCTGGTCTAGAACCAGTGTGTCTGCACTAATGTTCTACAATTAATAAATGCTCTAAAACCAGCTTTACTTTCTTTACAAAATATTTAATGTTGCATCTGCCTTGAAATGAGCACTGCAAACACTGAAATGTGAACCAAAAAGTCATCTAGTTTCATTGTAGCTCTTGTGTGTATTTTTTCCAATTTCTTACAGCCACTCTTCTTGGTGAGCAACAACAAAAAGTCAGTTCTCGGTTTCCTACAGCAGAAATATACTAAATGACTTTCTTCTCATTCTTCATTAGTGGGGCCCAGCAGAGCCATAAGATAATGTACTCACTGTGAGAGGATTAAAAACGACTATTTGCGATTTACAAAGAACTGACTTACTAAGAATTCCCCAGGGTACAGGCTAACATGTATCCCTGTTAGTTTACTAGCTACTTAACATCTCCAATATTGTTAACCTAGATTTTGAGCCAATCATACCTGACTATTAAAAGAGATACAACCTGGAATTTAATTAGTTATAACAAGAAACTTAGTACTTCCACTTATTGCACTCACCAAGTCACTCTGACGATTTTATAGTTTGACAGCCATATTTTCCTATCTTTTAAAACCCTTCCCTCCTCTGTTGTGGTGTGAAGGCACACAAATAGAGGAAGCTATAATGAAACAGACTATGCACAAGTTGTATCAAGTGCTCAAGATACACCAAACAAAGAATTTTCATTGGGAGCAATCCAGTGCCATTTGTAAGAACGGTGGGGAAATATATACCAACAAAGCGGATCATCATTTCAATGCACTAATAGATTACTTCCACAGATCAGGTTACACCAGAATCTGCTGCCCACTAATTACTCAAGCATACAGAACTTCAGTTACACTGGGGGAAGCAGGAGGAAGACTGATGCATCTTGTGGTCTCTGTTGAGTACAAGGAGCACCTGTCCTGGCGATGGAGGAAAAAGAAGAGCATCTGACAGCGTTGGAGTGTCACCCGTACAGCAGACAGTGATTCCTTGCCAGACCCCCAGCTCCCCGGCAGCCTGTCCCCTCCCGCATGTCCGCCCGCCCACCCGGCTCCCGGGCTCTGTGCCGCAGACACAAGCCGGGCGGCGGCTCGCCTGCCCGGTGGGATGCCTGAGCGCCCTTTCTTGGGCCGGGACTTTGCCGGGAGAGCAGGGCCGGGGCCACCCCCCGAAGGTCACAGAGAAACGAGACAGCCCCTGGCCTGGCCTGCTTTGGGGAGGATGGGGAACCCCACAAGCCGGGAGCTTCCGTGCCAGCGCCGATCCGCCAGGCACAGCCCGCCCCCCGGCCGGAAGCCGCCGCTGGGCCAGGCCGCCTACGCTCGGAGCTGGACCAGAGCAGCGGGGCCCAGCCCGCCGGTGCTGCCCCTGCACCGCCCCCCCGATACTGGGGCTACAGGACGTGTACAGCCCCCCCGCGGGGCCCCGGTAGCCCACACCCCCGGCTTTCGTGCGTCTCACCTGTGATGGCGGTGAACTGCTGGATTAACCCTTTGAGCGCCGAGGAGGCCGCAGAACCCCCGTGCGCCGCCATCTTGCCGCCGCCACCGCCGCCGAATAACAACACACCAGCCACCTGCCCGGCTGCTGTGCGCAGGCGCATAGCCAGCCGACCGACCGACCGAACGCCCCGTCCCCTCGCTCGCCGCCAGGGAGGCGCTTTCAATTTCAATGTCAAGCTTTATTGGGGGCCGCGGTTGCTCCACCCACTTCCCCGCCCCCTCAGGGGCGGGATGCTACTGTCCCCTCCCCCCAGCGCTGGGCGGTGCCTAGGACCAAAGTGAGAGCCCTCTAGCCCTGCCCCCTCCACCAAGGCCCAGGCACTGACAGCCCCTGCTGCTGCAGCCATGTCCCTCCTTGGGACAGGCACTAAAAAGTCAGGAGTCAGGCTGCTGCCCTCATAAGATTAGCTAGAAAATCAGGAGGGTTTTTTAAAGAAATAACATGTGGTTCTTTAAGTGGGCCAGCAGGGGCTGAGCCCTTTGTGACTGCAGCAGCTGGGCACCGCTTTCTTCATGCAACAAGGCAGGCTAGAAAATGCTTTTTTTTTTTTTTTAAAACAGTCTCTCCTGTTCCCATGACTCCAAGAGCTGGGGCTTTATGAAAAGCAGCATGTATCATGCAACGCATTATATATTAATGAGAAGTGAGGGCATGATGGCTATAAGCTGACCAGCTACACTAGAGCTACTCATAGGGGATCTATCACCACCGTTTTGTGAGCAGGCTGCTCACACCACGCCCATATTGAGTCTAGTGCTAGGAAGGCAGTAGTTTGGCTTCAACCACCCCCACCACTCCCCTGCAGTAACGGTGGGAAGTCCAGTGCCAGTAAGCATTCCGTCAACACACCAGGCATATAAATGGGGTAATTCAGACTTCTCCAATGCTTCCTGTAGATGCAAGTAAATGTCACAGAGACCACACTGTAATTAAATTTTAGCATCATTAAAAAGGGTAGGGAAAAAAAACCAAAGAAACCCACGCCGGTAGCATTTTTTACCTTCAAAGAGAGGAACTTACCAAAAATGAGGAAGCTAGTTAAATGGAAATTAAAAGGAACAGTCACAAAAATGAAATGCCTGCAAGCTGCATGGAACAGACTTAAATGCCACAGTGGAGGTTCAAACTAAACGTATACTTAAAATAATAAAAAATAGGACCAAAAAATTGCTACCCTGGCTAATCAGCAGACTAAAGAGGTGGTTAAAGGCAAACAGGCATCCTTTAAAAATTGGAAGTCAAATCCTGCTGCGGAAAATAGAAAGGAGCATAAACTTTGGCAAATGTAAAAGTGTAATTAGGCAGGTCAAAAAAGAATGTGAAGAGCAAATAGCAAAAGACACAAACAGCAAAAAATAAAATAATCAAGTACATTAGAAGTGGGAAGCCTACCAAACAATCTGGGTCCACTAGATGATCAAGGTATTCAAGGAACACCCAAGAAAGACAAGACTGTTGCAGAGAAGCTAAATGAATTCTTTGCATGAGTCTTCACTACAGAGGATGTAAGGGAGATTCCCACACCTAAGCCATTCTTTTTAGGTGACAAATCTGAGGCACTCTCTTAGATTGAGGTGTCAATAGAGGAGGTTTTGTAACAAATTGAGAAAAAGCAGGATTACATGGTATTCAACCAAGAGTTCTGAAGGAACTCAAAAATGAAATTGCAGAACTACTACCTATTGTATGTAACCTATTCCTTAAATCAGCCTCTGTACCATATGACTCAAGGATAGCTAATGTAACACTGATTTTTAAAGAAGGCTCCAGAAGCAATCCTGGCAGTGACAGGCCAGTAAGCCTTACTTCAGTACCAGGCAAACTGGTTTAAGCTATAGTAAAGAACAGAATTATCAGACACATAGATTAACATAATATTATAGAGACGGATGGAAGGGACCTCAAGAGGTCATCTCGTACATGTCCCTGTGATGAGGAAGGACCAAGTTTACCTAGACCATCCCTGACAGGTGTTTGTCTAACTTGTTCTTAAAAACTTCAAAGGATGGGGATTCCACAATTTTCCTAGCAATGATGGGGAAGAGTCAACATGGTTTTTGTAAAGGGAAATCATACCTCACCAATCTATTAGAATTCTTTGAGAGGGTCAACAAGCATGTGGACAAGGGTGATCCAGTTGATATAGTGTACTTGGACATTCAGAAAGCCTTTGACATGATCCCACACCAAAGGCTCTTAAGCAAAGTAAGCAGTCATGGGATAAGAGGGAAGGTCCTCTCATGACCCAGTAATTGGTTAAAAGATAGGAAACAAAAAGATAGGAATTAAATTGTCAGTTTACACAGTGAACGGGTAAATAGTGGGGTTTCCCAAGGATTTGTAGTCGGACCTGTGCTGTTCAACATATTCAAAAATTATCAGGAAAAGGGAATAAGCACTGGGGTGGCAAAGTTTGCAGATGATACAAAAATATTCAAGATAGTAAAGTCCAAAGCTGACTGCGATGAGTTACAAAGGGATCTCACAAAATGGGGTGAGTAAGCAAGAAAATGGCAGAGGAAATTAAATGTTGATAAATGCAAAGTAACGCACATTGAAAACATAATCCCAATATACAGGCAAGATACCGGTATCAAAATCAGCTGTTAACACTCAAGAAAAAGATCTTGGAGTCGTCATGGATAGCTCTCTGAAAACATCCACTCAAAATGTGCAGCGGCAGTCAAAAAACGCTAACAATGTTAAGAACCATTAGGAAACAGATAAAATATAATGCCACTATATAAATCCATGGTACACCAACAGTTCTGCTTGCCCCATCTCAAAAAATATATATATATATTAGAATTGGAAAAAGTACAGAGGGCAACAAAACGATTAGGGATCTAGAACAGCTTTCATATGAAGAGAGATTTAAAAGACTGGGACTGTTCAGCTTAGAAATGAAATGATTAAGGAAGGATATGATAGAGGTCTATAAAATCATGAATGGGTTGGAGAAAGTGAATAAGGGAGTGTTATGTATTCCTTCACATAACACAAGAACCCCAGGATACCCTATGAAATTAATAGGCAGCAGGTTTAAAACAAACATAAGGAAGTACTTCTTCACACAATGCACAGTCAACCTGTGGAACTCATTGCCAGGGGATATTCTAGATTTGATTTTGACAAATAGGAAAGAACTGGTTGAGAATTTGAAAGTGGAAGGCAACTTGGGTGAACGTGATCATGAAATGGTAGAGTTCATGATTCTAAGAAATGGTAGGAGAGAGAACAGCACAATAAAGACAATGGATTTCAAGAAGGCAGACTTTAGCAAACTCAGGGAGTTGGTAGGTAAAATCTCATGGGAAGCAAGTCTAAGGGGAAAAACAATTGAAGACAGTTGGCAGTTTTTCAAAGAAACATTATTAAGGGCAAAAGAGCAAACTATCCCACATAAGAACGGCCATACTGGGTCAGACCAAAGGTCCACCCAGCCCAGTATCCTGTCTACTGACAGTGACCAATGCCAGGTGTCCCAGAGGGAGTGAACCTAACAGGTAATGATCAAGTGATCTCTCTCCTGCCATCCATCTCCACCCTCTGATAAACAGAGGCTAGGGACACCATTCCTTATCCATCCTGGCTAATAGCCATTAATGGACTTAACCTTCATGAATTTATCTAGTTCTCTTTTAAACCCTGTTATAGTCCTAGCCTTCACAACCTCCTCTGGCAAGGAGTTCCACAGGTTGACTGTGAGCTGTGTGAAGACTTCCTTTTGTTTTAAATCCACTGCCCATTAATTTCATTTGGTGGCCCCTAGTTCTTATATTATTGGAACACGTAAATAACTTTTCCTTATTCACTTTCTCCACACCACTATCCCCTTTTTAATGATTCCTAACATCCTGTTTGCTTTTTTGACCGCCTCTGCACACTGCATGATGTCTTCAGAGAATTATCCGTGATGACTCCAAGATCTTTCTCCTGATTCGTTGTAGCTAAATTAGCCCCCATTATATTGTATGTATAGTTGGGGTTATTTTTTCCAACGTGCATTACTTTACATTTATCCACATTAAATTTCATTTGCCATTTTGTTGCCCAATCACTTAGATTTGTAGATCTTTTTGAAGTTCTTCACCGTCTGCTTTGGTCTTAACTATCTTGAGCAGTTTAGTATCATCTGCAAACTTTGCCACCTCACTTTTTACCCCTTTCTCCAGATCATTTATGAATAAGTTGAATAGGATTGGTCCTAGGACTGACCCTAGGACTGACCCTTGCGGAACACCACTAGTTATCCCTCTCCATTCTGAAAATTTACCATTTATTCCTACCCTTTGTTCCCTGTCTTTTAACCAGTTCTCAATTTATAAAAGGATCTTCCCTCTTATCTTGTTAAATTATGACAGCTTAATTTATGTAAGAGCCTTTGGTGAGGGACCTTGTCAAAGGCTTTCTCGAAATCTAAGTACACTATGTCCACTGGATTCCCCCTTGTCCACATGTTTGTTGACCCCTTCAAGGAATTCTAATAGATTAGTAAGACACGATTTCCCTTTACAGAAACCATGTTGACTTTTGCCCAATAATTTATGTTCTTCTATGTGTCTGACAATTTTATTCTTTACTATTGTTTCAACTAATTTGCCCGGTACTGACGTTCGACTTACCGGTCTGTAATTGCCGGGATCACCTCTAGAGCCCTTTTTAAATACTGGCATTACATTAGCTATCTTCCAGTCAGTCATTGGGTACAGAAGCTGATTTAAAGGACAGGTTACAAACCATAGTTAATAGTTCCGCAACTTCACATTTGAGTTCTTTCAGAACTCCTGGGTGAATGCCATCTGGTCCTGGTGACTTGTTATTGTTAAGTTTATCAATTAATTCCAAAACCTCCTCTAGTGACACTTCAATCTGTGACAATTCCTCAGATTTGTCACCTACAAAGGACGGCTCAGGTTTGGGAATCTCCCTAACATCCTTAGCCGTGAAGACTGAAGCAAAGACTTCATTTAGTTTCTCCGCAATGACTATCGTCTTTAAGTGCTCCTTTTGTATCTTGATTGTCCCTCCCTCCCCCGCACGACCTGTTCTGTCCTTCCGATATATTTTGTACCCCGGAATGATTGTGTCCCATTGATTGTCCCCACTCCACCAGGTTT